TAGGTACCTAATAATAATCAAACAAATTTTCCTTGAAATTTTCTGTTTCCTTAAAAGAGGATGTTTGGTATTTGTTATCTCTCTGACCAATGTGCAATAAAAGAAATTTGCWTTCAACAGAATTAGTATACTCTTAATTTTCATGTAAGAAAATTAACCAAATATCAAACTTAAAACATTATTTGAGTTTATATGCTTAGTATCTAGGTATGTATTTAGTACCGCGAAAAAAGAACCCTGAATAAATAACCCCGTGAAAAAATAACCCCAAATGAGATTTTGCAAATTAATCTAAATATTGGTGTTAATATTTCATTGCGTGAAAAAAATTAAAAAATGTTTTTTTTTTTTATACAATTTTTATGTTCCACAAATAACGTTAATTTTGGATTCAATGATAAATTATTGATTACCTACAATAAAAACGATTCAGAGCACGATGCCAGTCTGTCTGTCATATYGATCAGATATATTATAATAACAAGGTACAGCGATACAGCGACAATGTGAAATAATATTATAATGGATAGATTATATAATATTAGAAAGGTACTTTTATCTTTAATGTTCTGATAGAAGCAGTAATTTATAAAATGTGTCAAGTCCTGTGAGTTCATTTTTCAGTATTTGGTACTACAGTGTGCTTTCGTATATTCTTCTCTGTGCTTTGTTTTAATTTCTATTTGAATAATAATATATTAATATGGATATACTAGATATTTTTGAGAGCCAGAAGGGCAAAGAAAAGTTGGCATTTAAAAAGTATATGTATGTTGTACACAAAGAGTGTTTAAATTTTATAAAGTGGAAATGCTGCAAAAAAAAATAGTCACAAATGTCCATGTATTTTAAAAACTTCCCTGGATAAAAAACGTTTAATTAAAATTGATCATGAACATCATTGTATTACACATTTATGGTGAATATTTTTTATTTATATATTATTGACATTTCCATTCGTTTTTACCATAATTGAAAAATTTGACAATTTGTTTTAAATTATTATTATTGAAATTGAAATTGAATTGTATTACAAATAGGCAGGTACACCTTACAAATCAATTGTATTATAGGATTATTTTTTCACAGGGTTATTTTTTCGGGGTTATTTATTAGGCAAATCGTATTTAGCATAGATTATTTACACTTGTTATTTTTTTTCAATATTTAATTTCAATTTTTACAGTTATAAGGATGTAAAATATTATATTTGGTAATTAGTAATTACTGGCATACCTACCTACTTGAAAAAATKTTTATGTTTTAAAAAAAAAAACCGATATATAAACATAGCTAATATTCTTAAATTTAATTCTAATTGTAAATTCACTCAAATATTATAGCTCAAAGTTATTAGGTGGATATAAATATATAATTTAAGTGTTTGTATAATRTATACATATAATATACCTACAATTTATGAAATATATTTAAATTATCGATTTAACAAAACACAAATATTTTYAATTCAGTACTTATTGAGTATAATTAATTTTACTGAACTTAGATAATTGCATACATTTATTACTTCTAATATCTAGTGCATACTACATTGGATGCTGAGACATTAATTAARTTTTATTTAAAAAATATATATACTTAAAACTGTTTTTAAAATATAATCTTGTAACAGCAGAAACTCGATAAATCTTTACTGTCACACCCGGGACATTACATCCCAAATGTTAACTGAAAAATTACCAAATACATATTCATTTTACAATGTGTACATATTTTAATACAATAATAATATAAACATACATACTAAACAAAATAATCCATCATCTACTTTTGTTTTTTTGAGGCTCAAGCTTTTTTAGTAGCAACGTTTCGTATTTTACTGAAGTAAAAGACATTTTTTATACCTTGTACATTATTATATATATATATAAAAGAAAGCCTTAGGTATCAAAATTTTAAATTTTCACAAGATTCTTATAACATAGTTTGTATATGCAGGTCATAATTTTATTCTGCCACGAGTATGAGACAGATGTAAATAACAAAGTTACTAACCTAGTTAATCAATAACTATTATTGGTAGGTAGCAATTATTATTTTGATCAAAAAAAAATTAAGTTATATTATTATTTTTAGCAGTTTCCCATAATATTCTCATGTTTAATATTTATTTTATTTTATAAAATGTAATTATGTTGRTAATTATTGTATATTTTTAATGTTTTAGTTTTATTTTAATTAATTTCTATCTTTGTTTATTTCTATTGTTATTATTATTACAACAGATTCTTGTTTTCAGGTCATTGATTTTGGTTCAAGCTGTTTTGAACATCAGAGAGTGTACACATACATTCAAAGTCGGTTTTATCGAGCACCTGAAGTAATTTTGGGTGCAAAATATGGACTTCCAATTGATATGTGGAGCTTAGGTTGCATTCTCGTAGAACTATTTACYGGTTTTCCATTATTTCCAGGTGAAGATGAAACTGATCAATTGGCTTGTATTATCGAACTTTTAGGAATGCCACCTAAAAAGCTTCTAGATGCTTCGAAGCGTGCTAATTATTTCATAAGCTCTAGAGGATATCCAAGATATTGCTCCCAGACCACATTACCTGATGGTTCAACCATTCTCAAGGGAAGTATATCACGGAAGGGTAAAGCTCGAGGTCCACCCGAATCTAAAGACTTATCAAAAGCGCTCAAAGGCTGTGATGATCCACTGTTCTTAGATTTTATTACTCAGTGTTTGGAATGGGACCCTGAGCGCCGTATCACACCAGCTATGGCGCTAAGGCACAGTTGGTTACGTCGTAGACTTCCTCGTCCCCCCGCTGCTGAACATCAACATTATTCACAAGAAAGCACTCCTACTAGTTTAAGGGTAAAATTATCTGAGTCAAATCATCATCAAACATTGCCCATGCATTCCAGGAACTCTCAGATATCGGGTAAATTACCCCAGATCACATCTACATGTATTATGTAAGAATTATCMKTTAAAAATATATTTTACTATGGTTGTAATTCCTGAATGAAAATGATTAAATTTAGATGAGTAAATAGATTTATTGAAGATCTAACCCTTGTGAATTATTTGTTGAAAAATAGGTATTTACCGATTTTAGGATCTCTAGGTCGGCATAATGTTATGTTTGTCTCAATTATATTTTAAGATTTTTTTTATACTGCAGTAATTTTTAACTCAGACAAATATATGTAATATTAGAAAAATGTATAATTTTTTTTGTGTGTTTACAAATTTAAAATTTAGCCAAATATTTGATAGGTTCTGTAACTTGTATTATTGTGGTTTGATACAAAAATTGACTATTACATACTTGATTGTATTTAAATCTTAGATAATATTTATAAGTTGTATTATAAAATATACCCTTCACAAAAAAAAAAAAAACTATCATTTAAAATGTAATACATTTTTAATACATTTTTATCTTTTCCTACCATTCTTTATTTATATAAAATGTAAACTGATAAATTTTATATATATATATAAAAAACCAAACATATATTATTGTGTATAAATTGTGATCTAAATGTTAATCAAATGTCAAATGTCTATCGTATAAATATTAAAAAATAGTTATAAAATGTTTTTCCATTCACAAAATCTGTACAACTTGCAATAACGTGTGTGTTCATTTTTTATTTTATTTTATAAATTTTTAGAATATTTTATTGTATTAGTTTTAATTATTGTTCATTAGCAGATTACTCCATGAATGATATTCAACTTTGAATTTTAATTTAATTTATAATATTGAATGAGCTGAATAAAAAAACATGTATTCAAATTGACTATTAAGATAAGTTTAAATTATCATTTTTAATTTATTTAGTATTAATGAGTAGTTACTTATTGATATAATATCAAATTATCATAATGTAGGCATTTTGTAAATGATTGCAACAATGTTTTTACTTAATCTATATAATATGTGTTTTAATCTCTTATATTACATGACATGTGATAAAATCTTGAGTCTGCTATTCGAATTATTGGATAACTCAAAGTTGAAGTAGACAAAGAGAATACAATTATTATTTGTAATTATTATTATTATTATTATTATTATTATTATTTCACATTGGAAACGAAAGAGTCAGATTTCAAGAATTAAATCTTAATCGGTTTTGATTAGTGATTATATTTAAGGTAATACATAACATAATTAAAGTGAAAGTTCATTATAGTTAAGGCTAAAATAATTTTAATTTATATGAGCAACAAAATGTAGAAGTTTGTCGTAAGCTTTTTGTTTCCATTATTGTAAATATATTATAATATATTACTTTTCTAACGACTGATATTTATGTAAATAAATGCATAGATAAAATATCTTTTAAGTTCAACTGCGGTCTCAACGTTTTATTTAACAACTAAAATAAATATAATTATAATTCAACTTTTATAWTTGGAATTTATTTACTATGATTCAATGTACCCTGATGGAACATAAGAATTATACACCATACAGATTTATACCTATCTGTATTATTAATTTACAATACTTAATTATATCACAATATGAAAAAAATAGAAAAAGTATTTATATGTGTTGAAAAATTATGCGTTAATAACTTATTAATAAAAAAGTGTTATTGTTATAAAATTGTGACATCAATTATATGATTAAATGTACATTTGAATCATATTTATGCATGCATAATACATATACATTTTTAGAATACATATGATATAGCAATTGATAAATTACCTAAGTATCTTCTATATGTACCAATAATTAAATAGTTAAATGTATTAGGCTGTTGAGGTAAATATTGTACTTGGATTACAAGTAAAATTATTTGAACTCAAGAAATATATTGTGGTAAAATTGTAATAAAACCTAAATATATTGTATTGAATACTCAAATAATATTATTGTGAACAGTTGATTACTTGATGGTTAATTATTGAATACTGTATTGACACTATTATTTCATTATTATAGTCCTTCAAATGATTTACAATAGATAGAAAACCAGCTAAATAGAACAATGATGGTCTACAATTGATGATGATCAATGGATGTATCTCAGACGTTTTCAAAGTTGAAATTATTATTTAATATACATTTAGTAAATACATTAATTGCAATTTATATACATATTTCATATTAAACTCTATGTGTGAAAGAGCRTTTTCCCTGAATACCAAATTACACTTCGTTTTCATATCGCAATTGAGTGATTTGAGAGGTTTCCCCAGAATATAATCAACTGATCAACAATAGGATTGTATGCATTAACACTCTTCTACCTACGCCAACAGTATAATGTTAATTTATTCTGAAATAATTATTCAGAAATTTAGTGTTATGCACTCATTTTTGTATAACTTTACATTTTAATTTTATTATTTACATAAGTATAAGTATACCTACTTTTATAAGTGCATATTGTTATTGATATTAGCAATACTAAGGACTTTAAAAAATTAAAATAATTTTTTATGTGATTCAATCCACAAAGGAAAACTGTTTTTTCAGTAGATCTTAAATCTTAATAAAAAATGAATGGTATTCTGCAAGTGTAAAATGAATGTTAATAATTTAGTAAACTAATGGTATTATGGAAATGTTTGAAAATCCAATATATTTTGATAAATTCCATTGTCATTGTAGTTAATGACATGGAGTTTTCCTCCTAAGCCGCTAAGGTTGTAACTTTAATAATTTAAAAGTAATTTAAATAATTATATATAATGTTAATAGTTATAGGTTCACAAATAAAATTGTTTTTATTAAAATACGGCAGTTACATTTTGTAATTAATATGGATGACAAAAAGTAACAAGTGTCATGTACYCATGTTGAACATTGTGCCCAGTATTTATGATAAAATGACTGAAATAAAGACTTTAATGCACTAAAACAGTTTAATATAATATTATAATATGATCTATAATAAAGTGTAAAAATATGCTTTATGAAACAAAATGATTTTAAAATACCAATATTTATGAACTAAAACATTATAATTTATAATATTTAATTAATCAAATAATAATTTTAGGATTAATATTCGACCCATAAAATGTTCTATTTTCTTCCATCAATATTTTTGATGCTAAAACATAAATATGACCAAGTATAAATTGAAGATCTGGATAATGGGTGCAACGACACRGCATCTACAAKATTACAATTAATAAAATTTTTAAAGAAGCAATTAAAAATGTTTTAAAAATTAACAAATTATTTATAGACTCAACAATTCAGTTAATTTAAGTATAAGTAGCCAGTGAAAAATCAATTGTTAAAATCAATTTTGTATGATATCGACAACAAAAAATAAAACTTGGATAATATGCCTTCTTTTATACCATAATATAAACGGAGATGTTAGGTTATTGAACAACTCGGTTGATTTATCTAATTGATGGACAATCAAAAAAATAATTTTGACCTAAATCTATCAAAATAAGCCATGTTGTTGCTCCAGGGTTTTCAATTACTTAAATATAAAATAGGTGTACCAAAAGTGTTTTGGTACACAAAAGGAATTTATTAATGGTTATAAGATAGCATAAACATTTACAATTTTTTTTAAATTTTTCATACATCTATACCTACTTACTTTCAGTATTAAGACCTTAGAATAATAATTCACGCAAAATAAACATTTCATTATTTTATTTTTGATATAAAACGACATAATATGCCTATAAAATATCAAAATGTGCATCATAATTTATACACATGAACCAAAATAATAAAAATATTCTTTGAAAGGAAAATAGTTTGGAATATGCAAATCTGCAATATAACTCAATAAATTTCAATTCCAATCTACAACATTTATTGTGATAGTAAAAAATGCGCATATGCATAAACATTTGCGGTTTAATAATATGGTATGTACTCGTATGTAGTATCTTATTGCGTGTGCTACCTTTGATGTATATTTGGTTGCCTATCTTAAAAACTTGCAATGCTTAAATAACTTTTTACTGAAATGACTTTTTTTTATCTATTAACTTATGAACATGTTGCAGTATTTGAAAATCAAATCAAATTGAAATATTAATTAAAGAGGTCATCGTGATACATATTAAACATACATATTACATAATATAGGTGTACAGGAACAGTTTAACGGTCATCATAATCATCATATGAGGTAGGCAATTTTAAGTAAAACTATATACCTATATATATATATTTTTACAGAGTTGGAGATTYAATATTGAAACATTATTTTTTTTAGTTTTGTAAAAAAATACTACTTTACGTTTATTAGTGAACGTTTAAAAAATACAAAATATGGTTTATTTAAATTATAGAAATAATAATTACAGAAAATGAAATTTCTRATAAAATCAATCGGCTTATTAAGATCAGAAGCCAATAGGCAATAAGCAGTGCCTACGTCCTCATATTAGAATAAAATGCAGGAAGTGATCTGGAGTTAATGGTTTTCTTCCAAGAAACTAGATACTGAAAATTTTCAGAGTAGTATTTAGTCCCACAAAATTAAAATTTTCGTTTAAATTTAGCATTGTCCTGAAATAAAATTGACATTTATTTTATATTACTATGTTACAGGTAATTGATGAGGAATAATATTATCTCCATTTAAACAAAACATAAACACTTAATGTGTTCTATGTGCTCAACATAATTTTTGTTTATTCAAAGTTTACAACATGTTGTATAATAATTATATACAAGACAATAAACAAAATATAACAAAATTAGTTTTAGCAAGTATTTAGGCACTAAGCTAATTTTCTGTTTACTGAACATTTTCAAAAATTGGATTTATTTGATTGTTGGAACTAGTCCATAYTTATTTAAATATTTATAACTTTAAAACACATACATAAAAATGTATTAACATATTACAATAGGTATGCCAATGATATCAGGAAGAATTTAACAGTAACATAAGTGTAGGTACTTACTGCTTTTTCTTCTTCTAAGTGTCTAATGACACCGTCAATGTTCACTACAAATTACAATT